GAAGCTTTAGAATCCTTGACTCCAAGGAGCACTCTGGCTTCACCCTCTCCAGGACAAACCTGTTTGTTCTCCTAGCAGTTCATGGTATAGTCAACACTCTTCTCCAGCACCACAGCTCAAAAGGCATCAATTCTCTTTTTATCATCCCTATTCACTGTCCAACTGTCCAATACATAACACGTAATTGCGAAGACTGTAGCCTGGATCAGGCACACCTAGTCTCCAGCCCGACATTGTTGCTCTTCAGTACTCTTGAGAGGTCCCTCACAGCTTACTTTCCCAGTGCAATTCGTCTCCTGATTTCCTGGCTGCTGTTACCAAGAATGTTGACTGTGGAGCCAAGTAAACTAAAACTGTTAACTATCTCAAGCTCTTCACCGTCCGTACTGATGCTGCCAGTTGGCCCAGTAGTGAGAATCTTTGTTTTCTTGATGTTGAGCTTCAATCTGTATTGAATGCTGCAGTCCCTGACCTGCAGCAATCGCTTCAGGTCCTCCTCAGTTTCAGTGAGCAGTGTTGTGGCATCTGCATAACGCAGGTTATTGATGACTCTTCCACCAATCCTGATGCAGCATTACTCCTCGTACAGCCCAGCATCTCTGATGATCTGTTCTTCATACAGATTGAAAAGGTATGGAGACAAAATACATCCCTGACAGACCCTCTTCTTGATTTTGAACCATGTAATGTCTCCTTGCTCTGTTCTGATGATTGCTTCTTGACCCAAGTATAGGTTTCCCATTAGCACAATCAAATGTTTTGGGATTCCCATTCTTCTCACAAGGAGCATTGCTTGTTATCCACACAGTCAAAAGCCTTTGCATAGTCAATGAAGCACAGATAGACATTCTTCTGGTATTCTCTGCTTTCTGCCAAGATCCGTCTAACATTAGCTATAATATCCCTAGTACCACAACCTCTTCTCAGTCCAGCCTGCACACCTGGCAGTTCTCTGTTAATTTTCAGCAGAATCTTGCTTGTGTGTGATATTAATGATATTGTTCGATAATTTCCGCACTCTGTTGAGTCACCTTTCTTTGGAATGGGAAGAACTATCTATCTTTTCCAGTCATTTGGCCAGCTGGCTGTCCTCCAGATTTCTTGGCACAACTTAGCACATCCAGGGCAGCTAGTGAGCATATCCAGGGCAGCGTATGTTTGTTGAAATATGTCAATTGGTATGTCATCAACTCCTGGAGCCTTGTTTTTTGCCAATTCCTTCAGAACAACTTGAACTTCCTCCTTCATCACCACAGGCTCTTGCTCATAGGTTATTTCACGAAATTCTTCTTTGTCAGCCATTTCCTTCTGATACATTGACTCTGTGTACTCCTTTCATCTTCCTTTAATGCTTTCTGGATTATTTAACATTGTACCCAAAGTATCTTTAAGTATTGCTACCCATGGCTTCACTTTGTTTTTCAACTCCTTCAGTTTAAAAAACACTGTGCGGGTTCAACCCTTTTGATTTTTCTGACTCCAGCTCTTTGCACATTTCGTTATAGTATCTTGCTTTGTCATCCCAAGCGGCCTTTGAAATTTTCTGTTCAGCTCTTTGATTTCTTCCTTTAGTTTTGGCTTCTCTGCGCTCTAATGCAATACTCATAGTCTCATCTGACATCCATCTTGGTCTTTTCTTCCTCAGCCTTTGTAATGATCTTT